CTCAAGTTGCATCCATTTACCTATAAAAGTCTCTAGCTTATCATCTTTTATGGTTGAGTAATACTCCATTGCATAAAAAGACCACTTTTCTTTTCATCCCTTCCTTGGTAGATGGGCATTTAGATTGTTTCCAAGATTTTGCTATTATAAATTGTGCCGCTATAAACATAGGTGCACATATAATCACCCAACCTTGATTCCAGCACCCTTATTCCCAACATTGCACTACCAATCCATCATACACTCTAGATTCAGCCACCTCTGAAAAAACTCTATGATTGTATGAGGCTTGAGGGGGACATCTAGACACAAAACATAGCAAAATTCACAGCATAAAGCTTTTGCATAAAAGTAGTTGTGTTGGCTCATTATCACTATAGTTCTGCCTCTGAACCCACTGTGCCTCCCACATGTCTGTGAGTTTGCACACTAGCATATCCCTTCTTGTGTGATTTATGTGATCAATTCTTTTTCTTTGAGTCATTATGGATTTAGATTTATTTTACCTATTTAGCTTAACGTGGCTTTCTAATGTTGCTTTAATTTGTAATTTCCTGGTAACATACGATATTCAGCATCTATTACATATTCCCATTTGCTATTTGTATGTCTTTTTTGAGCAGGTGTCTATTCAAATTATTTGCCCATTTTTGAATTGGTTGTTTTTTGTTTTTATATTTTATGTGTTTTATATTTTGGACACCAGTCTTCTAACATATATGTGTTTTGTAAAGACATATTCTGTCTCTGACTGGTCTTTTATTATTCTTTTAATGGAGTACTTTGCAGAGCAGATTTATCTTTTATGAAGCACAACTTATCAATTTTTTCTTTGATGGATCGTGTTTTTGGGGTTATATCTAAAAAGGACTCGTAAACCCAAAGTTGCCTAGATCTACTGTGTTATAGGAGTTTCATGGGTTTTCCTTTTACATTTTGAGTAAGTATTTGTGAGAGAGTAAGTTCTGTGTGTAAATTCCCTTTTTTTTTCTGCATTAGGATATCAAGTTGCTCAGCATCATTTTTTAAAGAGTGTATCCTTTCTCCATTGAAATACAATTGCCCCTTTGTCAAATATCAGTAAATTGTGTCTGTGGGTCTGTTTCTGGGCTCTCTCCCGTTGCACTGAGTGTCTGCTGTTCACCAATGTCAAACTTTCTTAATCATGGTAGTTTTACGATAAGTCTTGAAATTGTGTAGTGTCAGTCCTCTGACTTTGTTCTTCTCCTTGAATATTATTTTGGCTTTTAGGAGTCTTTTCTTTGTCTGAGTGTATTTCAAAATCAATTTACCAATAGCTACAAAATAACTTCAAGGTGTTTGATTTGGAGTGCATAGAATCTAGATCAAATATGAAAGACCAGATTTCTTTATAATATAGTGTTAATAGCCAGGAACATGTAGTATCTATCCATTTATTTAGAGCTTTGATTCTTTCATTGTTACTTAGTTTTTCTGTTACAGATCTTATAGATATTTTGTAAGATTTGTCTTAATGTTTCATCTGTCATTGCTAACAAATAAAACTGTATTGCATTTTAAATTCTAATTTCTCATTGCTAGTATATTATAAAAATTGGCTTTTTCATTTTAACCTCTTATCCTGGAAGATTGGTATACATGTTTGTTACTTGCAGGGTTATTTTTTGTTGTTTTTGATCCACTGGGATCTTCTTTTTTTTCCTATTATCAAACTCAGGAAATTTATTGTTTATCCACATGGTGTTTACATTCTGCCAAGTGGCCCTGAAATATCCTATACAGTTATTTTTTCCTGGCTCAGGATCAAAACTCAAGAGACATGTTGGATTTAGTGTTTGTGCCTCTTTAGTTTGTTTTAATTTGCAATAGTTTCTCAACCTTTCTTGACTACACACCCCCTCATCCTAATATAGTTTATGTATCCTGCCTTAGAAACCTTTGTCTACACTTCCAATCATGAAGAAATTGTTCATTTTCTTCTAATAGCTTTATGGCTTAACTTTTATAGTTAGGTCTGTGGTCAGTCACGAGTTTTCTTTTGTGTGTGTATAGTGTGACACAGGAGATAAAATTCATTTTCTTCCATATGTATATCCAGTAGTCCAAGCATCATTTGCTGAAAAGACTTTGAGCAATGTATGGCTTTGATTCCTTCATACAAAAGTGTGAGCTTACACTTTTGTTTTGTTTTGTTTTGTTTTTGAGACAGGGTCTCACTGTGTAGTTCAGGCTGGCCCTGAACTCACTACGTAGCCCAGCCTGCCCTCAAACTCACAATGATCCTCCTGCCTCAGCCTCCCGACTGCTGGGATTACAGGCTTGTGCCACCATGCCGGTTTGAAATTATTTTTAAGTGCTTAATTCACTTGTGAATATTTATGAGATGACTTCCATTTCTTTATGAAGCCTTATAAATGAAGAAATCCATAAATTCTTTGATGGGAATCAAGTCTAAACAGTCTTTGAAATAGTTTTGACATTTATAAATTTGAAATTATCTAAAATTATAAGATACTTAATTTCCCAATTTATATGTTTAATTACATGTACTTTCATCGACTAATACAGACAGACAGACAGAAATACCTATGTTACCTAAGTAGTCATGAGCAAAAGGTAGAGATTTAATTACTTGTTATAGTAGAGGTATTTTCACATGTATTTGGGGAGACTTACAAAAAGAAATCTGCTATCTTAAACAAGTATTATTCTCCCATAAATTAGCAACCCTACACTGTGCTATGTTACACTATACTATTTATTTACCTACTTATACAAAGGACAAATATCTATTGCTTACAGTCCTGGAAACCAGGACACCCCAGATCAATGTGCCAGATTTCGGATACTAAACCCTATTTTAGAATATTAAAACTATGCAGGTGCTACTAACTACTGTACTAGGGCTGGTACAGTTGAACCTGAAACAAAACTCTATCCTCATAATTTTATATGTAAGACATCTGTGATTATGCATATTAAAATTTCTCACTGGAGTTCTAGTTAGAATTCTTGGATACTGTCACCCATTCCACTAATTCTGCTGTTATTGGCCACTGAATTAAATTACTTGGCATTATCAGATGGATTACTAGCTCTACCATTTAGTGGTGGTGTGGTCCTGACCAAGTTACTTAAGTTTCTGTTCCAGTGCCCTATCTGTAAGAGATGTTAATAGTTCTCCCATATATATATTGGTACCAGGAATCGAACTCTTGGCATCATGCTTGCCAGGCAGGTGCTGTACTGCTGAGCTACATCCTGAACCCCACAGAGATATTATCTAAATGTTTCAAAGATATGTAGAACATTCACAGATCCTGGCATGTAGTATGCACACAATATATTTTAGTTTATTATGAATTCCCAATGTGACAACACTAAATCATATATACTGTAGAAGGGAAAACTGGTACAGTAAAAAAGAAAATACTAATATCTTTATAAATGAATCCTATGTTGTCAGCATTGTGCTTAGATCTTAAAAGGAATTTAGTCACATGTCAACAATTTTAACATTATTTCCATTTTACAGGCAAAAGAACTGAGTAACAGGTAATTTAATTCAATAGCTAATAACAGCAGAATTAGTGGAATGGAGCAACTCAAGCCTATGTGATCTCAGAGTTCATAACTTCTTTCTTCTCCATCAAAAAATACTTAAATAACTTAAAAATCTGGTTTTAATGGGTGACAGCATTTGTTAAAACATTAAACTTTTAAAATTATGTGCTCAACTCTCGAGTAGCAAATCTATTAAATAAGTAACGTATTTTCTCATTTTTCTTGTAATTGTTGGTTAAATCATGAAACAAGACACAAGTTCATAGAGTCACACACTACTAAGGTATGAAATCTTCAGAGCATCTAATTTAGATTTCCACTGTATCATTACAGAAACAGCTAGAAAAGTGCCACAGTGTTGCCCTTAGTGACACAGCTGGTCAACAGCCAGCCAGGTTTCAGGTCTCTGGGTGCACAATTCTTTATTTTTATGGCCTCACATATGCTAGACAAGCACTGAGCTACATCTCCAGCACTTCCTCCCTCTTTAATACACTATCACCACATAGTTTGGAATCAGAATTAAAAGAGTATTTGATAGTTATGAAATACTCTGCTTTCAGTTTATTCTAGTACTTCTTTGTACAATAATTCATGACAGATTACCAGACTGTTTTTACACTATTTTTTTGAGGACTGGTGTTTTTCAATTGTTTCAAAATTTGGGACCTTTAAATCTGAAATTACTTTATCCTACCCTGGCTTCAGCTTCAAAAGCTCTCTCTGCAGCCCTTGCTCTTACCCTGCTCCTCTCTAATCTTGTCTGGGCTGGTTTGTTGCTACACAGATGCTGCAGTGACACCCGCCGTCCTCGGCAGATGAACCTGGAGTACGACCCAGTGAGGACAACTGAGGAGCCTGGGGGCATCACGGCTCGGTGCATCCTAGCTGCATCGTCCTGACTGCCTCTACGTCCAGACCGGATCCAACATGCTCGCCACCATGGGCATTTGGACGTTGGGGAAGGGCCAGAAAGTGCTGGGCGCCAGATCTGGCGACTCCGGGGAACGAGAACCTGCAGACGTGCTTAGGAGCCGGCACTCAGAGGGTGCAGTCCCTGTATGTCGGATCACACCTCCCGAAGACACTCGCGAAACAGGGCCGGCGCGGTGGATGCGGCCGGGCAGCTCGTGCCGAGGCCCCGCGTGCCCACCGCGCGCTTCAGGCCTCAGCGGCGGCCGCTCCACGGAGAGCCCCGCGGAAATCTTTTCAGAAATTAGACTTCCATGATACATATCTGCGCAGACCACTTCGCGGGCAGTGTTCCACTAAAAGGCAGTACCAGCCTCTCGAGTGAGAACCCTAGGCGTCCCAGTCCTCACGGTTATCAGTACGGCTGGCGTGGCAGACGGCTCTGCACAAGGTAATGATCCTCTTCCAGTCGTCGCCCGCGACTGTGATCCCTGATCCTTCCCAGCACCACTTACTATTCCATAATGGAACTGCTGAGAAGTTTTACACTGGCCTCGAAGGGCAGAGGCTCCCAAGATCACAACTTTCGAGCAAAGGCTCCGCCTGCGGCGCCGGTCGCCAGCGAACCAGGATGAGGGCGGAAGCGATCTCAGGAAGGAAGCGATCTCCGGGCGGAAGCGACCTGGCAGCTGGCGGAAGGGGCGTGCCCGTAACGGCTGTCTTCCTAATGGGCGGCACGGTTGCTGCTGCGCACGCGCAGCCCGTTTCAAATTCGGTGGCCCGCTCGGTGTAGCGGGCGCGTGGAGGGCGGGGTTCATGGCGCGGGAACCCGGAAGCGCGCGCCCAGCGGCTCGGACCTGTGGCGCCCGCCGCGGATCTCCTCCCGGGCTTGTCCGGGCCACTGCCAGCTGCTAGTCCGGCGGCTCCGTCGGTGCTCGGCCTCCTCTCGCCGGCGCCGCCTTGGGCTTCGTCCTTGGCCTGCCTGCCTGGGCCGAGCGGGGCCGCAACATGGCGGGGTCGGGTCTGGTAAGCGCGACAGCGGGCGGGAGCGGGAGCGGGCGGCGGCGGCCGGGGCGGGCGGCCGTCGGGGTTGGCGGGCAGCGGCGCTCGGGTTCCCCTGTCCTCCGCGAGCCTCGGTCTTCGCGTCGGAAGGCCTGGCTCTGCCTCAGCCTCGCAGGTGCTTTCTCCCCGCGGCAGGAGTCCGCGTCTGCCTGGGCCCTGCCGGCCGGGAGACGCCGGTTCCCGCTGTGTGCCGCGAGGGCCGGGGGCGCCGCGGCCTCGTCCGTCCCGTGGGGAGCTGTTTTCGGGCCTGCGTCACCCGCTGGGGCCCGGGAGGCGGGGCTGCAGATCGCAGGTGCCCCCCACCGCCCGGCCGTCGCCGTGGGCCTCCAGCCCCGCCCGGTTCCCGCGCGAGCGCCGTGACCGCTCCTGTCCTGAGCCTGCACTTGCTCCCCCGGGCCCTCGCAGGCCGGAGCTCGGAGCGCGGCGGCGCCCGCTGCGTGGGGCTGCGCGGGAGTGCTGAACGCGCACCGATGCGGGCGGACTGACGTTCGCGTTCCGCGCGAAGAGCACCAACGTTGTTGACGTTACGTGGGGTCGGAAAAGCTATAGCCGTTCTCGCCGGGGGAAGAGGAGCGTTAAACCTAGCAAATTCCTGCATTTCGGATTCCTGTCGGGATCTCAGAACTGTTTCGAGCTGTGTAGTTTTAATACCGAGTGTGGTGTTGTGATCTTTTGAAAAGACGAGGGGGAAGCGGAGTTGGGAGATCGCCTTACACATCCCCGGGTCTCCGGGGACGGGGGTGGGAGCTTCGCCTCCAGGTCATGTTTAGTGACCTCTGCAGAAACCCGCCCCGCAAGGCGGGAGTGGGGAGACTGACAGTGCTGGTGGCCCGCTAATGAGACGCTGGGGATGCTTGTAAGGATTCTCAGGCATGGTGCAGGCCCATAGCAAGGGTTCGTCCCGCCCCAAAACATCAGTCAGTCGTTGGGAGTGACAAATCCGTGTTGTACAGTATTGTCTTTCTTTCTTTTTTTTTTTTTTTGGCTTTTCCGGTACCGGGAACCGAACTTACGACCTTGCGCTTGCCAGGCAGCCGCTGTGCCGCTGAGCTACATCCCCAGCCCCCTGTACAGTATTTTCTCGTTTATTTTTGTTTGTTTGTTTTTCTTTGTACCGGGATTCGAACTCACGACTTCATGCTTGGTAGGCAGATGCCGTGTCACTGAGCTGTATCTCCGGCCATTAATATTTTCTTTGAGGAGGATAATCTTGCAGTTAATGGAACAAGTGCACACTAAAGTCCATTGAAGTCAGAGCTGGTGGTATTTATTTTCAAAGTTAAAAATTCTTAATGTTCTTTTAGGGACCTCATTTGTTCACCTGCTTTCCAGTGTGGCCAGATATCACTTAGCATTCTAGTAGGTGCTCAAGTAATATTTGTTAAACAAGTGAATTTCTTAATTAAAAGAAGAACAGTTTCAGAAGCATTGCAGAGTGCAAAGTGGTAAATCCTTGAATTTGTTGAGTGAAGTTAGAAGAGTGGCCATCCTTTAGGCTTTTGGAAGTTGGTGTAATTAGCAGTCTCAGAGTTGAGCTTTCCTTCATTGTTTCATAGTGTTGAATATTGAACAGAAATATAAGTGCTCGAGTTAAAAGTTTCCAGCCTTAATGTTTCCCTCCTTTTTTTTTTTTTTTTATTTTAAAGATAAAAGTTTCCAGCCAATGAATAACAGTGGAGCTTTTGTAGTATTGCAATGGCTAGGCGGAGTGTATAGTGCAGTGGTAGAGTGCTTGCCTAGCATAGCATGTGTGGGACCCTGCATTTGACCCCTGGTACTGCCACAAAAATCACAAAACAAGGCCTTGCAGTAAAACTAAGAATTGTTAGATATCTATATTCCTTATTTTGCCACCTATAAAATAGGCTTCGTCTTATGTATGTCATGGAGATAACAAGCCTTCACCTTTCCGAATTCTTTTTATTTTTTGAGGTTTTGTTATTGGTTATATCTTTTTTGATGCTAATGTGTAGTAGGCAAAGCTAAGGCAAGAATATAAATTAGTTTAAGAAAAAAATCTCCAGTTTCTTTTAATCTAATACTTTGTTTTCTTTTTTTCTTCCTTACCTAAATAATTCTAAAAGCTGTTAGGTAGGGCCAAGCAAGGTAAGTATTCCCTGTGTGAGAACTGCATGGTCCAGAGCAGGTGTGAGTGTAGGACTGCGTGAGTGGGGTTGAGAGGTGGCGCAATTCAGGATGAGTCAGGTGAAGTTGGCGTCCATGTGAGGGAGCTCAGTTCTGCCATGGAATGGTGTACAACTCACTTAGGTGGCTTTCTGGTGAGGTCTTACAGTCTACTACGGCGAGGCATGAGGGTGTGAGGTGAAAAGGGTATCTGCATAGGAGGGGAATGTTGAGTCCGCCTGGTGTCCCCACGGGGCAGTGGCCTGGTACAAGATGTCAGAGCCTGAGCTGAGGGAGGGAGTATCTGTGGGAAGGGTGGCTAAAACCAGATGGGAGAGCTTTTGGATAGGGATTTGGGAGGTTTGAGCCCACGCAGAGTAAGGAGGGTCTCATGGGGATTGAAACTGTATGTGTTGATGCACCTACTGAATGCTTAAAAGTATTAGGTATGAAAGCCAGTTTTCATCGAGGAGAAAGTTGTAAGTACAGAAAATGTTGGGGGACAAAGTTGTAAGTGCAGAAAAGATGAAAATAGGTTTTGATTGGAATTGTAGGTATCTATGAACTCGTGGTTTCCAGTATTCATAGACAGATATGAGGAAATGCAGATTTAATGGTGATGATGTATATACATACTGTATTCTCTCGTTTGTCCACTGAAAGTCTGGAGAGCAGACAGCAGCTTCCCTGAAGCAGTGAGGACACATGCCGCCTAGTTCATGGTTTCTAGAGACCATTCTTTACCAAAAAAGGATTGGGGCAGAGAAAATACAAGATGAGCCTAGAAAAATTAGTGTATTTTTATTTGCTGTTTCATGTGTGCACAATTATATCTCAATTAAGTAATTGTATCTTTAAAAATAGGGCTTAGTAAACACCTCATATTTATAAAATTTTCATTGTTGAGTGTGACATTTATCTTATTCCTATATGATCTTCAACTAGAAAATTTCTTCTGTAGTTTTTTTTTTTGGAGGGGAGGGAATTGAACTCAGGACCTTGCATCTGCCAGGCAGTTGCTGTACCGCTGAGCTATATCCCTGGCCCCTCTTCTATAGCTTTTACAATTAAAAGATTGAATCAGGCAGGTACGGTGGCACATACTTATAATACCAGCACTTGTGAGGCTGAGGCATGAGAATTGCAAGTTCAAGTCCTGCCTGGGCAACTTAGCAAGAACCTGTCTCAAAATAATAAAGGGCCAGGGATGTACCTTAGTGCAAAGGCCTTGGGCTCAGAAACCAGTGCTGCTCCCCACTTCCAAAAAAGAAAAACAAACAAAAAAGTAGGACTCAAAGTATCTCCAATACTATTTTAACGTAAGTATCAGCAATTTTGTGTGTTTTATTTTTACTGTTACTTCCATTTCCTGCCTCATTGCTGGGGAATAGATATTCCAGAAGCATTCTAGATTTTTTTATTCTCAATTTTTCTTGCAGTTTCACTGCTATGTTCCTTGGTATGGGTTTCTAGTTCATTTTGCTGGCTCCTTATGTCCTGCAGATTTGGGGAATTCAGTGGTACTCATGCATTATTGTTAGACTGTATATATTTCTTTTTGTTTTGTCTGGAATAAGTGATCAGAGGTGAGAGCTCCTGGTGGTTGTATTTTTCATCTTACTCTTTCTCCCGTTTTCTTATTTTTTCTTTATTTTGAGAAATAGCCTCAGCTTTATCTTAATTATAGTATTTCAGTTTTGGGCAGTCATGCTTTTCATTAGTTTTCTTTGTTCTCTGTTCAGTGTAGATAGTATACCACTTTAGTTTCCAGAGTCTAGTATTTCAGTTATCACTTGAAGGCAATAGTTTTCTTATTTTTGAAATTTTCTTCTTTTCCATCCTTAACATTAGTTTTCCTTCCGTCTTCTGTTTTAGAGATTGAAATGTTGGGTGATTCCCCCAGATATTGGTCGTATTTGAGATGGAGATAGTAAACACTAATTAGGAGGGTCCGTTCTGTAGGTTTTACCGCTTTGTCTCACTTGTTAGCTTCTCTAGATCTTGTATTTTCTAGTTCTGCATCTTCAGGGCTTCTCGTGTAAGATGAGTTACCTAACTCCTCACTGAGGAGCCTTTGAGCTTTTGTGGACCACTACTGCTTTCATTGTTTCCTTATTTATCATTCTTCATTTGTTTTCTGTCTAATGGAAGTTTGTTAAATTTGTTCACTTATTTTTTCTTCAGTTTTCTTTTTCCTTGTTTTATAGTGTTTGTTCTTTATGATTATTTTTAGCGGGCTATTTCTATGTGGAAGGAATGTAAGGTATTGTTAGTTAATCATCTGGAATGATTAGGAACCCTGACAGATGGAAAAGTGTGGTGGTGGTTAGGGCAAGAGGAAGAATAAGATCAGCTTGAGGGAGGGGATCAGGGTTAGTATAAGAAAGGTTTGGAAATAGTACAGGTGAGGCACATTTCTTCTTCACTTGATTCAGAATTCTTTTTTAATGATATGATGATGGGTGATTAACAGATACTTAAGAAATAAAATTGTGCCATTCCCTTGTTAGAATGAAATTACATTGGAAATAAGTTGTATTTGATTATATTTTAAACAAAATTTTAAATTTTTTTTTAGGATCATCTCAAAAATGACTACCGAAGAAGATTTTGCCGACCTTCCAGGTGATTTCATAGTAAAGATAATTTTTATTTTCATCTTCAGAAAGGAATTATTAAGTGAAGAAAGCAGAAATTATCACCTCTGAGTAAGATAATGATGTCTGCCCACTAAATATAGTTATCTTAATTATGTTGTACTAAGAGAAATGTTAATACAAGCGGTATTGGCTTAGTGACAGTGAGAAGAGAAATTCACTTGATAAAATGGTGAAACAGAAGGACTGTCAGTTCTACCTGAATGCCATTCATGGGAAAAGTGTACTGTAGTGGATTAAATGGTAATATTGGAAAGATGCAGCTTATTTTAGTAGGGAGAAAGAAGACAATAATACCTGCTGCCATACATTTGCTGAGTGCTTAGTGGGGTCATCTGGTCTGTTTTTTTTACTTGTAAAATCTGTACAATTAAAATTTCTAATTAAATATTTAACAGTAATAATATAACAGCCTTAACTTGCAGTGTAGACAGCCACATAGAGGTTAAGGGATTTGTGTGTTGTGGCTACTAAGGAACGGTTGAAGTGAGTTACTTCATATGTATTACTTTTTTTTTTTTGGTATTTTTGAGACAAGGTCTTGCTATGTAGGTCAGGCTGGCCTTGAGCTCACTTTGTAGCCCAGGCTGACCTCGAATTCATAATGATCCTCCCGCCTCAGCCTCCCGGGTGCTGGGATTACAGGCGTACACTACCATGCCCAGCCTCATATGTATTACTTTTATAACTTGAAGGATAAGAGGATTGTTGTAGGTGAGGAATCAGTAAACTATAACCCACAGACTAGTAACATGTTTTGTAGCAAGTTTGTTTCAGTATTGGAGCACACAGCAATGCCCATTTGTTAGAATGTTCAGAGTTGAGTACTTGTTACAGACTGGACGGTATGCAGATCTAAAGTATTTACCATCTGGCCCTTTGGGCAAAAATTTCCCATTCTTGTTAGGGGTGCATGTGAGAATTTTATTGTGATTGAGATTCTGTCCTTCGGCGGGGAAGTACTTAAACAACCTAGCATAGAGCATTACTCAGAGAGGGAGAGGGGAAAGGAGAGATGAACATTTCAGGGCCAGTTAATTGTATTCATTAAAAAAAGTTTATGATCTTACTGGGATACAGCAGTAGTTCAAACCAGTTTTTGATATGGATGTTCAATTCTGTAATATAATTGCTTATGTGACATAATTGTTTATATGGATAATGATAATGCTTCCTTTCACAATACAAAGGAATGAGTTCACTTGTGGGAATTTTTAAGTTGTCAAGTACATATTTTGTGTTCACATAATAAAGGTCTTCTTATTATTAAGTTAACATTTTATAGTGAGACAGAATTTTAAGTAGATGGTAACAAATGACAAATAATACAAATAACAGAATTATCTTGCAGAAATGATCATGGTATATTTGCCCTTTCTTTTTTATTAGGGCACCTGACATTAATACTGAGCAAAGCCAGAACATGCTGGAAATCTTAGAAAACTGTTTTGAAGAAAAAAGTAAGACTTGGTTTCTAGATGGACTTTGAGGGTTGGAATGGATGAAAATATGAATTTGTCACGTTAATACCAAATGTAACAAATATTTTCTAGCATTTAAATACAGGTAAAGCATTTTCCTTGGAATTTTGAGTACACATGTAATCTTTCCTGTATACTAAGGGTAATACTAATTTTTTAAAAATCACAGTAATTTCACGTTAGGTTTCTGTAATCTTGAAGTCCATACATAATTATATACAAGAGAATATTTGATGTATAGGTCTGAAATTCCAAAATCTGAAATCCACTATTATAAGTGGAATATTCCACATCATAAGTCTTTAGTTCATATACAGAATTACTGAACATATTGTATAAAATTGCCTTCATGATCTCTCGCTCTCTCTCGCTCTCTCTCGCTCTCTCTCGCTCTCTCGCTCTCACGTGTGCTATATATATATGTATGGGGGTACATGAAATAAAAGTGAATTTTTTGTTTAGACTTGGGACCTGTCTTAGTTACATTTCTCTCGTTGGTGAGACAAAATACCCAACACCCAAAGTTAAAGAAGGAAAGGTTTATTTAGCTCAGTTTGAGTCAGGCGGCAACAGATTCTGGTGGCAAAAGATACCAAAAGCAACAAGATAGAAGAGAGATAAGCTTTTCCCTTGTTTATGTTGTATGCAGGCTACATACCCTAAGGTGGGTGTAGCACTCACAGCCTCAATCACAGCATTAGACCATAAACAAATCACAAACTTTAGATTCAGCTACCACCAAAAAGCCTGCCCTGTTACCACATGAAGCTTTGGGGGGACTTCTAGACACAAACCATAACAAGACCCATCCCCAAGATACCTTATTAAGTCTGTGTAGATATTCTAAAATCTGAAAAAATAAAAAAATGTAAATTATTTGTGGGCCCAGGCATTTGATAAGGGAAACACTGTATTGGAAGCAAGTGTGCAAAATTCTTGGGATCCTTACAGTTTGAGATAATCTTTGATGATTTTCATACCTTTAATGGAATTGGTAAATTTTGACAAAAAGTTTTCTAAGTCCTGATCAGCATCAGAATAAAGAGAGTGGGCCAGTGAAAGGTGCTTGTAATCTCCACCCTCAGGAGGCTGAGGCAGGTGGATTACCATCAGTTTGAGGCCAGCCTGGGCTGCATAGCAAGACCGTGTCTCAAAAAAGAAAAAAACAAAAAGGAATAAGGAGATATTTTGGATGTTAATGTTTCATTATACCCAAAAGCACTTGTTAGATATTTAATCCACGTTGCAAAAATTTGAGGAGGTGGAACCTTTGAGAGATGGTTAGGTCACAAGGTGCTGCACACATGAAGAGATTAATGCTAGTATAAGTTTTGAGACTGCAATTGTGTTTTCTTGCTGTCTGGCGCACTGTTATGCATCTGCCTCCTGCCTTGGGATGACATAGGAAGGCCCTTGGTAAGTGCAGGTGTGATTTTGCAATCCAGTCTTTAGTATTGTAGGAAGTAATTCTGTTTTTTGTAAATCACTCAGTGTCAGGATTTTTTCCCCCTGTGGTGTCAGGTCGTGAACCCTAGGTGTTGTGCTTGCTAGGCAGGTACTCTCTCACTGATCTATACCCCACAGCTTATTCTCAGCAGAAAACAGACTGAGACAGTGAAAAACTAGCTCTCTGTACAAGCTCTGAAGGAAGAGTTGGCACATACTTCTTCAAGAGTCTTTGCTTTTCTCAGGTTCTGATACCTTTGAGGAACATTGGAATACTGAATTAATATCTGATTTTTGTCAGTTTGTTTCTTTGTTTTTGTTTTAATTGTGGCATATTGAACCAAGACCTTGCTCAGCATTTGACCACTGCGCTACATCCCCAGCCCTTTTTAAATTTTGAGACAGCATAGATTGCCCAGGTTTGCCTCAAACTTGGAGAATTCTGGGATTACAGGCATATCTTAACCACATGCAGCTAACCAGGCAGTTCTTCACATCTCCTGTAGAGCTACTTTGAATTGTAACCAATAGATACTGTATTAAATTCACTTTCTAAAATTTCATGTTTTTGTTTTAGGTCTCATTGATGATTTTATCACAAATTCTACAAAATCAGTGCTTTATTTAACACCCAGCATAAAAAACAGTGGTATTCAGTCACCAAGCAAAGACGTAAGTAAAAAAAAGAACTGAGTTCTATGTAATATATTGATGAATGAAGCTATATACAATGTACTGAAATATATTTTAGTTACTTATTTTATTCTTGAAAGAGATTTCTGTATTCGCATTGATGGTCTGTAAGATTTGGGGGGTTAATAAAAATTTTGATTTAATGTTTTCTGTGTTTGAAATTGGGAGTTAAAATTACCACATTATAGCAATTTTTTTCATTTCTTTTAAAAAACAGTTAATTAGGTTTTAGGGATATAGGTAGGTATTGAAGTTTCTGATTAGGTTGACAAGTTGAACTGTTTTCTGAAGAATAAAGCCATTCGTTTGCTATCAAGGGGAAACAGTTTTGTTCATCATATGTCTTAAGAGGATGGGTTGATCTAACTATACAAGACAGTTTTTTTGAGATAAGGCCTCAGTATATAGTGCAGGCTGGCCGTGAACTTGCTGTATAGCTTGAGCTGGAGCCAGACTCATCATCCGTCTGCCTTAACCTCCTGGGTGATGGAATAATACCATGTGCCACCATGCCCAACTTGTAGATATTTTTCAATTACAATCCCCCCCACCAGTCCTGGGGATTCAAGTGCAGGGCCTTGCAAACATTAAGCATGTGGTCTACCCCTAACCCTAGAGGTTTTGAAGCTAATGTCCAAGGCAAATTATTTAGAAAGCAAATACTAACTATAGAAACCAGTGAAATAAAAGTTGCGAACAACCTGTAAACAAACAGCATATTAAACCTAAAAAGAATGCAAACATAATCTACTTTTAGAAATAGGGAGAGCTATGGAAATAAGGACTAGCATGTAATCTATAGCTAGCTTTCTTCTGAGGTAAAAATCCTGTGTTCTTTACTCAGTGTTCCATGACTTATGGAAGTTTTCCACTCTGACTAGTAGGTACAGGCATCCTCCATGTGACTGAGGATGATTCCCCCTCAGGCTTCATGTAGTTCTTTCTCCAGCCTTGCATGATTTTCTCACATGCATGCTCCCATCAGTCTACACAGGTTGCTTGAGGGAGATCTGCACGTCTGAAGTTTTCACCCGGTGTAGCTACCACCTGTCCAATACACTGCAAATTCTAACCATCTTGACCTTAGATCCCCAACCTTGTCTCCTCAACTGATGATTTCTCCTGCCTATGCCATAATCTGTGAGCTCAGGAGATCAGACAGTTTGCTTCATTTATTTCCTATCTCTCAGGGATCACTCAGGTCTCCTGAGAATTTTGTATGTTTTGCTTGTTTTAAAAAGTGTTTCAGGGAGATCAGAATTGATCCCTGATAATATAGTATAGTGGTAGTGAACCTACAGGGTGTGAGCCGAAGCAGTCTGTTTTTATCATTGAAAGCTATAAAAGGTTTGCCATCACTGATAAAGTACATCTTACTCTAATGCATGGACTTCTTGATGAGAATAGAAAAGTATTTTGAGCCCAGTGGTAGCAAAAATATGGCTTATCAAAACTTTTATGAGATCTAGCTGAAATAGTATTAATAGGGAATTCATAAGTTTGAAAATATAAAGAAATAAGAGACCTTGGGATATAGCTTGGTGGTAGAGCACTTGCTTGGTATGTGCCAGGCTATGTTTTTAATCTGTAGCACCGCATGCACAAAGATACATTGAAAAATACAGGTTCCACTGTATATTTGTGCTAGGCTTATAAAATGAGTTTCTCCGTTTTTTTGTTATCTTGATGTTCTCTTATAAAATAGTTTTTTTCCCCTTAAATATTTGATAGAATTCACAATGAGTTTTAATTTGTTAGAGAATATTTTTAAAATAAAAAATGATAGGTCTTAGAAATTCATATAGTTCTACAAGGTAATTATGAAAAACAGTAGAGCCTGCTCTTTCTTTCTCCAAGTTCTGACTTGTTAAGTCTTAGCTATTTCACCTCCATGTTTTTAAGTAATGTTTATATTCTTCGATTTGCCAAGTTTCTAGATGCTAGCCAAGAGATAGCTTTGTAAAAAGGCCTTTAAATGATCAGGACTCTGTGTTAATACTTTACTGCATAGATGAATTTCTAAATACTGTATCATACTGGACTGGATCATATCGGATCTCTTTGTATCTATTTTGAAGTTTATATCAGTGGGATTATTAGGTACTTCTACAACTTGCCTTTTGTAGTTAACATACTCATTTATTCATGTCACTCTAGTTTGTTTCACTATTGTATGTGTGATATTATATGACTATATCAAGTGTTTATTGTCAGTAGTTACTTTTGTATACATCAGCAGGTAGTTTGTTTTAAAATATTTTTTCCTATTTTAAAGGCAAATGAATTATAAGCAGAATTGATAATTTAATAAAGTAGATCTAATGTGTTTCTTCTATGCTTAGTGCCAGAAATCACACCCAAAGTCATTTCAAGAAGCCACCCTGCAAGGCGTTGTAGAACCAACTGAAGCTGCCAGCGGATCAGGTTGGTAGCGTGTCCATGGGTATTGCTTGTCTTAATATAATGAAAAAGCTGGAAATGCCAGAGGTCATGCATGTGTTGGTTCAAGTGAAAATGTCAGAGTCAGCCAGGGTAAGATTGTGACAGTGGATGAGTATGTTTTTGATTTTCAAGTCTGTGGTCAATGCTGTATTTCTTTTTTCTCCTTTTGCTCCATTTCCTTTCCTCAGTGACATAGGTTGCTGCTTATAAAAGTTTTATCTTCAAGGTTAGTGTGGTAATGCAGGCTGCAAATCCTAGTACTCAGGAGTTTTAAGCAGGAGGATCTCAGAGTTCAAGGTCAGCCAGAATTACATAGAGTTCAAGCACAGCCTGGACTGTGTATTAAGACCCTGTCTCAAAAATAAAAGTTCTATCTTCATTTTTCAAATTAAAGAGTATTACTCCATTTGAGGTAAGAATCAAAGATTTAAAAGAAACATCTAAACATTGCTCCTGTCATCCTGTTCAGGTAATTTTTGAATCATTTAATATCTTGATTAGGGTATGTAAATGAAAAAAATACAGTATGTGTTTATGTGCTTGTGTCTTTAAGTGCTTTCAGGAGATTTTAAAATTTTCTTTCACACAAATAATATTAGGAGTGCTTTTTACCTGATAGACTATTCTATATTTTCTAATTCAGTTGGTATTTAGTGATCTCATTGTTACTTTGATGTCCATTTCCATGATTGTTACTGGATTTGAGCTCCTGCTTATGTTTCTTAGAATTTGCTTTTGTCTGACAGTATGACTTATCTGTGATTGTCTATCCATGTCATTTGTTTATTTTTTTCTTCATAAGAGATTTTGACTTGAATATCTGTAACCATTTATCTGTAATTTATGTGAGATGTTTTTTCCAATGATAGTTTTTGATTATTATATTTTTAACATTAAATAGGTAATATTTTGAAATTTTCATACGCATGTTTTTTTAGGTTTTGATAATAAAGTCTTTACCCTAATGGTATATGTAATAACTTAGGTTGTTTCTCTTAATTTTTTCAAAGCTTAAGTCTTGAATCCATCTAGAATGGGTTTGAAGATATACCATATAATCACGTTTTCTTTCTTCCATATGATCAATATCTGAGCCATTCATTAATGTCTTCTTCTGAATGTACTGCTTTAGTCATGTGTTAACTTGTATATAATTCAGTATACTTTTACAGTTTCTTCCTATGTTAATACTTTTATACTGTAAGTTTACAGTATATACTGAGATAAGATAAAAAGATAAATACGTCCACTATTCACCCTACTGTTTTCAAATTGTTTTTCTTTCTATGAACTTTCAGTTTTACCCAGTTTTCAGTAAATTTTTGTTGAAATTCTATCTAGAATTGAGTTTAATTTATATAATTATTTTTGTGAGAATGTACATTTTTATGTTGTTTAGGTTTTCTACAAAGAGACATATCTTACATATTTATGTGTTAGAACAACATTAGTCTGAATGTTACAATCCGCAGTGTGAAAGGACAACTCAAGAATAGGAGAAAGTAGTTGAAATCAGGAGCTATTACTATTCCCCAATAAATTTTCCTATGCTGAAAAGCAAAAAAAGTAGACAAAGGACTTGAGCAGACATTTTTACCAAAGAAGATATACAATTGGCCAATGAACATATGAAAAGATGCTAAAAATTATTAGTCATTAGAGAAATACAAATTAAGACCCAGATGACTAGGGTATCTATTGTATCAGTGTTGTATTTGTTTCATAAAATAGGGTGGAAATTATTTCCTTTTCTGATTTCTAGAAGAGATTTTAAAATGACTGTTCTTTGATGTTTGGTATAACATTTTCTAGTGAAATCATCTGGTCTACGAAATTTCTTTTTGAAGAACTTTTAAACTGTGAATTCAGTTAATAGTTATGGGACTGTTTTGGTTATCTATTTCATCTTGGCTGAATTTTGGTAATTTTGTCATAGTTGAGAAATTAGTCTGTGTTTTTTACAACTTCTTGAGTTTATAAGGTTAAAGTTGTTCGTAGCTTTGTTTGTTTGTTTGTTTGGTTTTTTTTTTTGAAACCCCGTCTCACTATTTAGTTCAGGCTGACCTTGAACTCACTATGTAACCCAGGCTGGCCTATGGCTGTCCTTAGTGTTGGAATTGCAGGCATGCATCCCCATACCTGGTCTACACTACAGTATGTTTCTTAATGGCATGCAGAATCTCTTGTGGTAAGCCCTATTTTTTTTCCCTAGTTATTGGTATTTCATGTTTTGTTGTCTTTGTCATTTTTGTCAATTTTGCTAAAAGTTTATCACTTTTTTTCAAAAAACTAGCTTTTTATTATTAATTTTCTGTATTATTTTCCTTTTTCAGGTTTATTGGTTTCAGCTCTTTTGTCCTATCATACTTTTGTTTGATGTGGGTTTATTTTGCTCTTTCTTTTCTAGTTTTCCAGGCAGAAACTGTTATGCTTTGGTTTATAATTAATAGCATTGATTAATTTTGTTTTTCAGATTATTTCTGCTTTGGCCAATAGAAGCTCTTTCATTGGCTCATGTCTTGTTTTTGTTGTGACATAGCCTTTTTTTTGTTATTTTTTGAGTACTTCTTACCTTCTGGAACTCACAAAATGCTCCAGGTCTGTTTTATGTATTTTCTGCCCCTATCATAGAAACAGCCATTTCTCCAAGGAGCCATCTTCTTTAACGGGAGAATGATATAAGAAACCAAGGTTTGGGTGCTAGGTGTACAACATTCTTGGAATGTTGATGCTTGTAGATCCTCTCGATTGAGCAGGATAATATATGTGTGTATACTAACCAGCATAAGTAACATCTATAAATACTTTTATATGTAGCTTTCTGTATTTTATTTAGCTAAACATGAGTTTATATTGATGTCTGTAGCTCTAAACTATTGCTGTATGTATTCTAGCATCTCAGCTGGTTTATAAATACCTACACCTGACTTTGAAACCGGTCATCCACTGTTCACCATCTGTTTACTCTTAAATTCTTGTATATATGTATAACCCTATCAGAATTGTTGACTTAGGCCCTAGGGGAAACATCAGCTAGAGTATCAAGATTGAAATATGGAAAACATGTATTACTATGTGACTTTGAAGACAGGTCATAAAAGGTGGCTCACACCTGTAATCCCAACACTTGAGAAACGGAGACAGGAGGATCACTGTGAGTTCGAGGTCAGCTTGGGCTACAAAGTAAGCCCAAACTACAGAGACCCTGTCTCAAAAAGACCTCCCCCCAAAAAAGCTGTGTGACTCCTCCTAGCTTTCTGGAGAACAAGCTTACCTTGTTTCTTTCTTCTGTCCCTTTGCCCTTAAAACCCACTACCACAATTTGAAGGGGCCCAAAGTAGCCCTCGTGGAGAGAAATAGGCTTCCAGCCTACAGACAGCATTAGGTGTCAGACATGTAAGCAAGCTTACACATGGTTCCAGGCGTCAGACTTGGAGCAGTGACAACCCATACCTGGTGCGCCTAGACAGATTTGATCTGTGCGCTGTGTTCTGTCCAGGTGTAGACAGCTCACCACTGCATGTCACACCATGCCACTGCTCTGCTGAAAACTCAGCTCCTAGTAATTCTAAACCCAGTGCGAGTAAAGAACTAAAAAAGGGTAAGGTTTAGTGTAACAAAATGATTTATTTGGGGAAAAAAGCTGGAAAAGAAAGAGGATAGACAGCTACCATGGGGTAGTGGGGGCTTGAGAACGGAAAGCCCCCGAGCTCTTCTTCCTGGCTCCTTTTATTGGGGACCCCTGTCTTTCCATCCCCCAAGTAAGGGCTTGTCAGTATCTGATCTGTTGCCTTGACTGTCTTTGATCCTAACCTAGCAAGGCCTTCTGACCATTTTATTCTATCTTTTCCCTACCTATAGTGCCACCTGTTCTACACACTGATTCCATGAATATAGCAAATGCTGGTTTTGCAGTCAAGTTATGGAGTTATTATGTAGATGTAGCATATTATTGTACAGGTATAGTTACCAGAAAAACTCTGCTTCACAAGTCACACTATTGTCACATCTTTTTACTGTTTTTAAGAATCTGCCATATTGTTTTCACAGTACCGTTTTATATTTTTGTCAGCATTGCGCAGAAATCTAATTTCCATCATCACCAAGTTACTTCCTGTGTTTTATTTTGTTTCAAATAATACTCTACTGAGCTGAAGTTGTATCCTGTTGTGGTTTTGATTTGCACTGTATCAGTCATTAGGCATTTTAAATTAAAACATTAGGAATTGTACACCAAAAAAGTGTCTAAAATCCAAACCAACTAGTTCTTTCTTATAACTTACTTCTTCGAGACTTTCTTTTTAACTTAAGAGAATTTATAATTGATTGTTACAGAATTTTATTATATACTTGCAACATATGATTCATTCCATTTGTGTCCATTCATATTTCCTGTTTAGATTGTTTTTTTTTTTTCCCCTGTTGTTTGACATGGCAAATCATTTTGATAGTATTTTGGTCATTTTGGTTTTTATGCTGTGAGATTCTTGATCGTATTTAAATCTTCTGTTGCAACACATAATTGACCTGTTTTGTTGTAATGTGTAGGCTCTCCCCTAACTTTGTGGAATCTCTTTTAACAGTGGTACTGTGGTCTGCTTCACTTTTTAATGCTGCTTGAATTCTAGTTTAGTTCCTGTGCTGTCTTGAGTGAGGTGTAAGGTGCTTTCTTGAGCCTCCTTATATCCTTGTTCACTCATTTTTGGTTCCAGGTAGAAACTGCTGGGCCTGAGTCTCTTAGCATCGCTGTGGTACACAAGGACACTGAGATCTCTTATGCTTTTTTTTTTTTGCCTCAGTTTACATCTCAGCTAGTATGCTGCTTGTGAAATAGGGACTGGAATGGCCTAGGTCAGTGATAACAAACTTTTTAAAGACCAAGTACCAAACTGTAACCCAAAACCCACTTATTTATGGCAGAGTGCCAACACTGCAGTTAAACCTTAATACTGAGGTTTTAATTTTAAAAAATAACTATACATTAACATCTTTCGTCTTAAAAGAAAAACACAGTAACTCGTGTGTCATAAGATTGCCATGACTTGGCTGACCGAGGGTGTTCTTAGCTCTGCTGGATTAAAACAACACTTGGTGTGAAGCAGGGGCTGGGAAAGACAGCAGTCTCACTCCTGTCAGATGCCTGTGGGTCATCAGTCCTGCCGTATGTGATCACTGGACCACGAACTGGGCCTTCTTTCTCTCCTGTTGTCTCCCCTTTTGCCCAGTTGATCGATGTGGGTTCAAGGCTCCTCCATTGCCCATTCTAGGAATATGTAGGAGATGAACAAGAAACTTAACCAAAGAATTGCATGGTAGTTCCTTGACACTGAAGTTCTAGCTAGTCTACCTTCTTCCTCCCACCATTCAGAATCCTGGTATAGTGATTTTTTTTGTTTTTGTTTTTGCTTTGGTTGGTTTTTTTAGGTGGTGGTGGGAGGTTGAGATAGAGTCAAGCTATGTAGTTAAGACTGGTTTTAAATTTACTATATAGCCCAGGGTGGCCTTAAACTTGTGGCAGTCCTCTTGCCTCAGTCTCCAGAGTGCCAGGATTATGAGTGTGCACCACCACACACCTGACTTGTTGATCAATGGATAATTTGTGAGGAATTTAGTTGTACTTAGAGGGAGAAGCTGGGAAATCCAATTTAATTCCAAAACCAGAAACCCTTTCTGGTTGTATTTTAGATTTCTAGTCTGTGCTTTTTAAAGGTGTGAACCACTATAAATACTACTTAGCTATTCTTTTTCTTTGATATTAGAAGTTTGAGGGTTAAGGGGAAAAAAATGTATTTATCCTGTTTATGTATACTTTGATAAATAGATACATGTACACATGTATATTTATGTTTGAATATATCTCTGAGTATTGTATATGTTATAAATATATATTTATTTAGCTGCCTTAGTTCATTGCAGAAGAATCTCATGATTTTTCTAGGGTACTTCATTATGTTAGCTATATAGATTTATTCACACCTCAAGACTGTCAATAAATTTGTGATTTTTCTGTTTGAGGATTTGTTTTTTCAGAACTTTTAAAATACATATTTTAATCATAAATCTTTGATTCTGAACTTAATGACCTGTGAGTTTTCTGAAAAGTACTTCTGATTAAATGATTGCTGAATTTAAAAGCCCCTTTGATTCTAATGTTACCTTTTAAATTAATAAGTATCTCCATATAATTTTCTTTTAGTTCAGGTTCATGAAATTCATCAGAAAGTTCTGACAGCTGATGTTTGTTCTAAAAGTACACCTGACTTGAAGAAAAAGTCAGGTAAAAAACTGAATGGTCTTTGCGCAGAAGCTGATGAAGAATTTTACATATCAGTTGGTTCACCCACTGTTCTTTTGCATGGAAAACCATCTGAATCGCAAAATGCTATTTCATCAGCCCAAAAGAGAGAAACTCACACTTTTGGAAATTCAGTAAATATGCTGTCTTCAAGTACAGAGATTTCTCTTAAAACCAAGAAAAGGTAACTTCTCCTTATGATAACAGTGTTACTGTAAACATTTCAACTTTCATATTAAAAATTAGTAGGATAGCATTTTGATGTTTTTTAGTAAGGATTAAGGAATATTAACATTATAAGAAAACTGATATGCCTTTTATGTATTCATTTATTCTTAATAAGTAAGGCCTTAAAATGTGCTTGGAAGAAATTGGTGAATAACTTTTCTTTAGTCAGTGGGAAAATGTGGTTTGTTTGTGTTGTCTATTTTTTTGTAAGTTCCTGAAGGAAAAGCTTTGCGTGTGCTTCATATTTATAACTACAGAGATTATTATGTCATTTCCAGGGTAGCAAGGCATATGCACTGCTGAGAATGAGTTGTTGTAAAAATTGTGTCATTTCTTGGAGATTTCCCTTTGACCTTCAGGAAGCAAACTAAATTGTTCAAGGTCCTTTGTTAATAGGAACCTTTGTAATCAGTGTAACTTCTGTCTCAGGTATTGTTTTATTCCTGGAGCCAGCCAGTTAAGTATGGTCTAAGACTTTGCTATTCAAAGTATAGTCTGCTGTAGTGCTCTGAGAAATAGTGCTTTAAGCTATAGATTTTCTAGGTTTATAGTTTAGCTGTTCTAATGCCCAGTGCAAAATCTCATTATATGGTCTGTACTGTCACTGTAAAGAAATTCAGGAAGGCTCATAAGAAACATAGGAGCATTTTACTTGCCTTTCTTTTTACCTATTAGGTTAAACTTTGAAGATAAAGATATTTTGAGAAAAGTAGAGAGAGAAACTAACAAGTCAGAAGTAGAGGATAAAGTATCAGGACAAAAAGAAAGGAGACGATCAGAAACATCTCCAAAAAGAGTACAAGATGTGGAACATGAAATTCCATCACAAGCTAAAAAAAGTTTTTCAACATTGTTTTTAGAAACTGTAAAGAGAAAAGGTGAATCCAGGTAAGTGCTTTGACGTTGTTTTGTTTTCCATTCTATGAACTATATATGAGAATTTCAATATTATTTAACTTAGAAATAAATAATTGATACAAATATTAATTGAAATTTTGATCGACCTGTAAAGAGAGGGTTTTTGTTTTTGCCAGTAGTTCGTTCTCCAAAGCCATCCTTTCAATTGGTACCGAACTAGATGGAAAAGAAAATGAGTTATTTGGTTCTCATTGCTCACCAGTCTTTTCTAAAGTTTGTCCGTGATTATATCAAAAAATGAAGACAGTATTTAGAAATATAATTAAGTCATAGCACCTACGTTTCACTGTCATGGGTTTTGTGTTTTTTCTGTTTCTCCTCGTTCTGCCAATGAAAGCATTTTAAATAAATTTTAATGTAGTCTTTCCTGCGTAAAAACCTGCATTGATTCTCTACTCTCCATATAGTGATTCTTAAGCCCTGGCTGCACATTTAGTTACTTAGAATCAGTGGCAGCCAGACTTGAGAATCACTGGTCTGTAGAATAAACTTAAGTTTTGTCAGCTGGTACTTAAAGTCCTGTGTTTTGCCCACTTGGTCATACATATTTGCATTAACCCTTTTGTTGGTCAGCATTGACCCTTTTCCTGTCTCTTGCCAGTCATTTTCTTTTAAGGTCTGTATTAGGCCTCTGGGTTTTTTCAAATTCCACATCAGTGATTTTAAAATTTTTTTTTTTTTGCCTCATATTATAGATTTGCTAGTTTATGCGTGTCCTTATTAGTTAAGACTTTAGTGCTCCTTAGGAATTTAGAGTTTCTTTTATATTTTCTGTGGCATCTGTCAGAGTGCTGCTGAACATATGAAAAAGTTTCTGTAAGAACATGTTAAATGACTAAATGAAATTCCTCTTTTGTTCAGCCTCTGTTCCCTAGTTCATTTCTCACTTACGTGCACGTGTGCACATACATGCACACAAACACACGAATTTACTCCCTGTGTGCATGCTGTTCCCACCATCCTAGATGAATGTATTACACATACAGGCTAGTATATGTGGAAGAACAATTGGGAATTTTTAATATTCTTTGATAAACTACTGTACAAAGTCAATTTTATATTTATTGCTTTAGACAAACTTCGATGCACTGATCTTTTTTTTTTTTTCTTTCAATTTCATTGATTTCTACTACGATCTTTATAATTTCTTTTTGTTGGTCTTGGGTTTTTTTGTTTTGTTTTTGGTACTAGAAATCAAACTCAGAACCTTGAGATTGCCAGGCAGGCGCTTGTGCCGCTGAGCTATATCGCTGGCTTTTTGTTGGTTTTGGGTTTGTATTGGTCTTATTTTTCTAGGACCTTGAGATACATCATTAGTTATTTATTTTGGACTGTGCTGTTTTTCTAATGTAGGCACTCACAACTCTAAACTTCTTTGTTAGGACTCTTAATTGTGTTCCACAGATTCTGGTATGTTGTACTGCTGTTGTCATTTGAGTATAGAATTTTTCTGTCTGATTTCTTGTAAACCATTGATTGTTTAAGAAAGTATTACTTAATCTCCATGAGTTTCTAGTCTTTTAATTTTTTTTGCTGTTGATTTTTATTTTCATTTTATTATGATATGGTAGGATGCAAAATATTATTGAATTCTTTCCTACCTACTGATACTTGCTTTATGGCCTAAAGTGTGATCTGTTTTGAAGAAAGTTCTGTATGCTGCTGAGAAGAATGTATATTCTCTTGTTGGATGAAGCACTCTGTAGATAACTGTTATATCCATTTGTTATATGGAGTGATTTAAACTCTGAAATTTTTTTTTTGTCTGATTGACCTGTTTGTGAGACTGATGTATTGAGGTCTCCCAATATGATTATATTGTGATCTGTGTGTTCATTTTGTTTATGAAATTGTACCAACATTTGGGGTGTGTGTGTGTGTGTGTATAGTTTTTTTTTTTCAGTTGTCATCTCTTCCTTGGGAATTATTTGCTTTACCAATCTATAACACCTTTGTTTCTTTTTACAGCTTTGGTTTGAAATCATTGGTAGAAATTAGAATAGCCACTCCTGCTTGTCTTGGGGCTCTTGTTGCATGGACCATTATTTTCCGCCTTTTTATTTTTAGGGTATATGTGTTTTATGGATGAAGTACATTTCTGGCAGGCAGCATATAGTTAGATTTTATTTTTTGATCTAATCTATCAGTCTGTCTTTTCATTGGGAAATTAAATGTAAACATCGAGAGGTATTTACCTGTTCTGGTCATTGTGTAATTCTTCAAGGGCTGATTCCTTTATTTTTTCATTTTGTTTAAGTCTTTTCCCAGTTGGATGTATTATTTCCTTCAGTCTTTGATGTTCGCCTTACTGTATCTGTTTGAGATTTCCTTGAGTGTTTCGTGCAGTACTGGTTTGGTGATCATGCATTTCTTTAGATTTTGTTTGTCTTGGAAAGTCTTTTATCTTGCTGTAGTTTTGAAGGATAATTTTGTAGAAATTATATATAAAATACATATATAGAAATCTGAGTTGACAACTACTTTCTTTTTGAGCTTGAAAAACTTCACTCCAAGCTTTCCTAGTCTTTAAGGTTTGTGTTAAGAATTCTGCTGTTAA